ACTGCTAACCATAAATGAAGAAGTTACTCAAATGTTAATTTAATTATAAATCACAGTTTTATGAAGAAAGTAAAAGAAATACAATCCTTGGTGCAAGATTATAACAAAATTGCAAAAAAGATAACTAACATGACTATTTAAGAAAATACTGCTTAACAATAGTAAGCGTTAAGGCCAGAGATTCCAAATTAATATAATTTAATGTTTTAATTTAATGTTCAAGACATTTATAAATGCTGTGTTGATTCCCTAGTCTTTAACAGACGGCCCAGAGTTGAATACCAAGTTCTTTTACATTTATTCAAAAATAACCTGCCACATGATTAATACTTCTGCCAGTGATATACTGATATAGAACTTGGTGTCATTTACCATGATTGTGGCCCAAGTTTCCAAATCATTATCTTACTCTGAATAAATGAAATTAAATATTCATTTTTAAAATATGCAACTCACAGTATCTGCAACTTACATCTATGTCAGGAAACATGTCACACCTTGGTGTGCAATTTACAACTCATTTAAGCATTGGAAATGCTTTTTAATCGATTCCTAGAATTGCATGTAGTATTTTCTCCACTCCCACAAATTCATTCTAATATTCTGGAGGAAGTAGAAAAGTGTGCAGTCTGATTTTTTAAGGGCTGCTATATATCTCTTTGACATGTTTTCCTATACTAAAAATATTCAACTATATGTGTTACAGTGCTCTAGAATGTTGTTTTTCTTAGGCAGAAAAAACTGATATAGTCAAAGGGTTCTTTAACCAGAAAAAAAAGAATACTTCAGTCAACAGAAGAAAAAGTAACATATGAAGCAACAAGCTAAATTAGGTCCAGGTTTTTGACCACAACATTCTCCAAACAACTTTGAAAGTTGAATTACAAACTAGTTACTGTCTGTGATTCAAGATGTGCTGGAACTGTGCATTTTAATAACAATCCAAAAGTCTTAACTATATCATGGCCTAAAGTTCCTTAGGCCAGTCTCACAGGAATATATACCCAAATATTAAGTGCTATCACAGAATTTATTTTACAGTAGTTGAGGGAGCCTTGCAGAATAACGGGCAGAATAAAGGACAGAATAACAAATCCCATAGTGTGCTAGATTTTGAATTAGCATGATGAACATCAGCAAGTCACAGCAACACAATTGTTTGTTTACTGTATTTCTATACCAGATTTCTGAAGACAAGCAAGGTGTTTTATGAAAAACTCAAGTCATAAAGTACATGTTTCCATATATACATATACATAGAGAGAGAATGAGAATTTTAAACTGTATCGGTTCCTAAATACAAAGAGCATTAGAGACAATTGCAATTCCAATGGGAGCATGTTCCAGAGTTTGGAAGCAAAACAGGAAAAAGCCCTTTCCCAAGAACATCTGCAAACAAAGGTGTTCTCAAAAGGGCCTCTCTTGTCAATCTTAATAACTGTGCAGGTTTAGCCTAAGCTAGGCTCTCCCTGAGATATTAAGGCCCGAGGCTGTTTAGAGCTAAGTTTAAACCAGTAACTTTTATTGAGCCTGGAAAACAATTGAGGACCAGTGCAGATCTTTCTCTATTGCAGTGATATGTTTACAGTACTGTGTACCAGTTAAGAACCCAGCTGTCACATTTTGCACCAACTGAAGCTTCCAAGTAGCCCTGCACTGATTCCACTGCAACAGCCTAACCATGATGTGACCGAGGCACGGATAACTCTTGCTAAATCGGACTGACTAAGGAACAGCTGCAGGTGGTGCACAAGGCCCAGTTATGATCCTAGAAAGTGGTCCTTGTCCAAGCTACCAGCAGAGAATACAAGGACAGTCAAGGATCCAAGAGGATTTCTAGGCTGCAAGTCTGATCTTTCAAGGGAAACATGACCCAACTTCAAGGGAAGCAATACCAGTGCCTGGCTTGCTGCTGACCAACAGCAATCTGTCTTTCCTAGGTGTAATCTCATAGTCATTCTCAGTGTTGAATTAAGGCAGGGATGGTAATGGCTTCCTTGGAGTTAGGTGGCAAGGAACAACAGATCTGACAGTCATCAGTATAATGATGAAATCTCACTCCAATCTTTTGGGGTATTGAGCCTCTTGCAGCCCAGAATTTCAGAGGCATTCTTGGAAGCTGCATTCCAGCAATAGGAGAGGCAAAAGGCAAAGGAGAACAGTGCAAAAGCACCAGCAGATTTTCACGTAAAGCATTCACTGCAAGTAACAAAGCCTTAGGAGAGAGATGTCAGCCCTTTAGAATGGGGGAAATATATCAAGCTGGGAAGCCACAAAAATTGGTGTTGTGGCATAGGGAACATGGCCACCTGCAGAATTCCAGATTCTGACCACAGACTTGAGTTTTGATATCCATGTTCTATACAGTTCAATACTGAACCTTTCAAATCTAGTACTAGAATCTAGAATTCTCCTACCACTGCACCCTACTAGGAAGCCAGGAGCCAGTGTGATGCAGGCAGGGACAAAGAAGTGACCTGAGGAAGATGGGTCACATGTCTTCTTTAGCCCTGTTACATGTTTAGATGGTTCTTTCAGGACTAGCTGGCCTTCTGATAATTACTTCCTTTAACCTGGGTGTCTTTGTGTAGCTCAAATACACAAAAGATGCTGGAGGTGTGATAATTAGTGATCAGAAAGGGCTGGAGTTACTGTGAGAATAAAGATGGGAAGAAGCATGTCCTCCAAGTAGGTGAAAAGGTAGATGATAAACAAATACATAGAAATAAATATAGAGCATTTACCAATTAGCACATTTCCTTCCTTGCTTTGCACTAGCACACATTTCATTACCACCCACATGGCTTGCATCTAAAATAGATTTATCCATCATAGTATAAAAGTCAGAAGCAGTAAAAGATATTATATGTGACATACTGCTGGGGTGGTCCTCCTACTAAGTGGCCAGTGGCAGACAATATGCTCCCATGGGACTCTGGCTCTCAAACACATCAGCTATGCTTGCATTCTACTTAAATTTTGCCTTGCTTCTACTAATGATCACAGAACTAAAACTCACTGTTATCACCATGGTTCTGCCTCCCTTTCCATGGCCACCTTTTAAAAGAAGCCAAATGCTCTGCATAGAAGAAGAATACCATGAGACTGATCAATTTCATAAAAGAAGCCACAGCCCTGAGCAGGACTGTCAAGAGCTGGACATTTTGGACGGCACCCATTCACTGGGTCACCTTACACCAGAGACAACTTGATGGCAGGTAACACCAACTGTGCTCTGCATAGTTATTTATGTATTCCTCAACTCCAACTGAAATCTATGTGGAATTGCATTTGCTCACATTATTTTCCCCCTTTCTTTTCCCTATCACTGTTTATCCACCCCTCATTAGATTGTAAACGCATTGGGGATAGGAGCTGTCTTTCTTTAAAGTGCCATTTACAACAATGGTCCTCTATATGTAACAACATCAGTACAAAGGAAATGTGATAAAAATGTGACAATACATATTTCTATAACTGGAAATTACCTCCTTGTCTGAGCAGCATATGGCAACGGGAATGAATATATGCCCCAATGTATTTTAAATGTGCTATTTTAAAATGTGATTTGCGACTCTATTTTCCAGTGAGTCAATTTCCAAATGTAGCTCCACTGAAATTCAACGAAGACGTCGGTGGCCCAATCCTATGCATGCTTTCTTGTAAGAAAACTCCACTGATTTCAATTGTACTTTTCCCCAGTATGTATGCATAGGATTGCAATTTTAGTCAAGCCAACTTCTAAGAGTTAAAATCAACATGAAAAAGCCAGTTGTTTGATACTTTCTAGCAGGGACAGCACATGAGACCTTACCAGTTCTAACCAAGAAATTACACATATCTAAATCCTGTCACCTAAAATGTGGGATGGACAGAACATGCTGAAATGAATCTGAGATTCTTGATTAGTTTGATATTACTACATTCAAATCAGGATCGGTCATTGTTATTCAAATCAAGTTTGTTTGTTTTCTAACTCACCTTGTCACAAACTTTTTTCTTCAAGACCTAAGCTTGCCATCCTATATGCAGAACTACTTTCATTCAGTGATACTTAGTTTAAGCTGCACATTTCAGGTAATTCTGGAACCATTTTTGTTCCTACACAATATTGTTTCCATGTTATTATCTTGTGATGTCTTTATATTATATTATATAGTCATTATATTGCAGAATCAACCCCACTCCAGTCCCCAAAAGCAAATTATGTAATTATAGTATTAGAGTGACCCCCCTCAACCCGGACACTCTGAGTATTTCCTATTTGATGGAGTTGGATAATTAACATTCTTTATAACTTCCTCGCCACACACTGCAGACTGAATCAGAAATCTGCGCCTTTTGTTTAGATGTTCTTTAACTACTCAGACCAACTTCCTTGGTTCATATATTTAATACTAAGAACAACCACTTGAGTTTATGTCTTTCTTCTCGGTGACAGGTTTATATTAGAAGTTCAAACTGGGATGGGGAGGGGGGATGTTAACACGTGCAACGAGTCCCGCCTGTTTGAAAATGGGAACTTTGCAATAAACGCGTTGCGAAGTTCAGCGCTGTTTGAGAAGAAATGAAATTTCTTCCAAACGACCGAGCCAAGCCAGAGAGAGAAAGTGGGGCGGAGGGGCAGGGGCGAAAGACTCTGATGCGCTTTGCAGGGTGCAAGCGCTGCCCCGAGAGCTTCTTTAAACTTGGGCGGCCCTTCTGTCACGGCTTTGTCAAGGTCCCCTCTTCAGTTCACTGCAGTCTGGGAGACGCGCTACCCGGGCGCTCTCCCGCTGCCGCACCACCAAGGCGGGCTGCTTCTCGTCTTTGCGGCGGGGAGAAGGTTCAAACCCACATGGAGGGGACAAGAGCAGAAGGAAAGGAGGACAGACGGCGGGGGACAGCAAGCGGCGTGGGCTGAGTGTGCGCGTGCTTTTTTCGTTTGTTGGCCAGACGCCCTTCCAGCGGCGGGCTGCACTCCGGGGAACTCTTTCCATGCCGCAAAATCGTTACCGTACCTCGTTGCTGCGGCGCTGCCTGTTGCTGCCACCGCCGCCACGGCTGCTGCTGTTGTTGCTGCTGCTGCGAACCGCACCGGCTCAGTAAGGCGGCGAGGAGCACGAGAGCGGGCAAACTTCCCCGCGTCATCGCGGCGAGCACCGCTCCGGCCGGCGCGCGCTCTCCTCTCCTGCTCCCTCGCGCTCGCGCTCTCCCCTCCCGGGCAGCGAAATGAGCAGGGGAGAAGCGAGCCGCTGCCTGTGAGGCGAGGAGGAGGAGGAGGAGGAGGAGGAGGCGAAGTCCCCGCTGCGGCCACAAGGGAGGAGACGGCGCGCGAGGCCACACCCTGTCCCGCCGCCTTTGCGCCCTCCCCCGGCTTGGGTCACAAGACGGCATGCAATCGGGGAAGCCTTCCAAAGCGGGAGGCTGCAGCCGAGCGGAAAGGAATTGGGTGGATGGATGGTGGATGGATGCCTGGGATGGAGAGAAGGGCACCACGACAAGGTCATGCCCAGAAAGAGAAGGAAATATTTAAACACAAGCCCCCAGCACAGATGGTCTAGTGGCAATGAAGCAAGAACCCTTACAACTTGTCCATCCTACTACAATGTGATGTTAAATATACATTTGGGAAAGACTGCTTTTGAACCCTGGCACCTTCATTTTGAAGGGATAGCCACTGATTGGGTGGGCAAAGGCAAGGAAATAGCCATCTCTCCTTTCTCCTTCATGGAGACAGTAGCCCAGTTAGAAAGCCTCCTGTGTGCCTTGTCATAAGCTGGGCCCTTTCCTCTTTGCTTCTGGTTATTAAACTCAGGACAATTCCTTTAAGTCTTAACATGGGCAGATGCTTCTCCCTCAACCTTGGTAGAAGGCTATTTAAAGTTCATAATGCTCTGTAATTTGGCAGTTTTAGTAAACAAATTGCTCTTCAAGGGATTGTCCTGAGTTTGATAACCAAAAGGAAAGAGGGAAGGAAGCAGCTCATGACAGCTGGGACCCAAACTGCTATCTTCCCCTCCATCTTACCTTTCAGTAAGGTGTCTGACTCCACCCTCATGAGGCATGTAGTTTGAGGGCAAGACTGCAGAGCAAGACCTACAATAATCCTCCCGGGTGGATTAATGTAACATGCTTTGTGTGGGGCTGCCTTTGAAAATGGTTCAGATACTTCAATTGGTACAAAATAGAGCTGCCAGGTTGCTGATGGGGCGGTCATTATTCTCATATAACACCTATCGGCTCTGTCAGCTTCATTGGCTCCCAGTGAAGTCCAAGCCCAATTTAAGGTGCTGGTAATAACCTACAAAGCCGTAAATGACTTGGGACCAGGATATCTGAAGGGACGTCTCTTTCCCTATATGCCCTCACACCCCTTAAGATAGGCAGGGAAGGCCTTGCTCCGGGAACCATCTCTGAAGGAGGTACAGAGGGTAACTAATCGGAGGAGGGCCTTCTCTGCAGTGGCACCCAAACTATGGAATACGGTCTCCAGAGAGGTCCACCTGGCGCTGACTCTCTACTCTTTCCAGCGTCAGGTAAAGACCTTTTTATTTACCCATCACTTTAATAATTAAATTAATAATTTTAATACAAATTAACAACATATTACAGTTACAACATATTTTAATTGTATTTTGTGTGATTACTCAATTGTTGTAAGCCGTCCTGGGACCATGCAAAGGACAGGTTAGAAATGTTATGAATAAATAAATAAATGCCATAGACGAGTGAACTGAGCTCATTTCTCCCATAGCTTCCTTACCCGGTCAAGGTCTGGGTCTTGCATCTACTCGCCTCCTGAAAACCCTTCTGTCCCTTCCAAAGTAGGCAGCTTCTCACAGTCTATCTGAGAGACTTAACTAGGTAACCTTGAAACACCAATGTCCTCCTCTGCATTTTGGTCTGCCACCTTCTGTTCAGAATCAGACAAGTCTATCTGAACAGTCTGTAATGAGCGAGAGATGGGTGATGTGCAGTCTCAGCTTAACCTCTGAGCAAAAGCAGGGAAGTGTGGAAGCAGAAGAAGGGAGCAGCTACTCCTGCCATCTCTCCTCCTTGCTTTCTCTGGACACTGCAGTGGTGAGGACTGGGCCCAAAATGCTGCCTACAGAGAAGGAGTGCTCAGAAACTCTGCCCACTTGCCCATCTTCTCTCTCTGGCAGGGAGGATCCCTCACAGAAGGAGCAGTCACTGCATCCTTTCATAAACTCACCTGTTCTCTTTCTGTGAGTGCCGCAGTGGTCACCAAATTGCCAACACAACCCGGTGAGAAGAACTTGTGGATCCTCCCTTGGATGGCAAACTATAGTTTCTTCCACTGCACTGCCCAAGAAGTTGGACACAAAAGGCAGAATATAGATATAAGTAAATGAATAAATAGTAAATGCGAATAAGACAGTAAAACATAAAATATGCATCAAATAAATGCAACAGCATTTTTGTTAAAATCTTTATTTTAGTCATATTGACATTTGTACTAATTAAATCAGTAGAATAAGTACCAGCAGATAAACTGACTAAAATTTCTTTAGTCAACTTGCAGCCCAAAACTTCATCAGGTAACACACTTCAACAATTTCATTACCAGTACTGCTTGATTTATATCTAGATGAAAGAGAAATGTCTGCTTATTGGTGAAGTGCACATTCTTAAGATTAGCAACTGAACATAAATATTTTGGCTGTTCTAAACTGAGTACAGGGGTGTGGTCTTGTGGTCTCCCAAATGTGTATTTTGGAGATAAAGAAGTATAACTAGTAGAACTATTTATATGATTTTGGAAGATGAACAACAAGGTTTGAATTGCAAAGGTGACATGAAATAGCTATGAGGATCTTGCAAAAAGGATTGGATTACATGCTCCAAGGGCAGTAAACTTGGTAAAGATTCAGAAGGCCAAAGATATTTCATTAGAACTTAAAATCAATATCTATGATTCAATTTCCTTGCCATTCTTCCTGTATGGGTTGAAATATTGGAGAAGAAGGACACCTAGAGAAAGATCTTGACAATGGAATTGAGATTGCTGAAGAGCATGCTGAATTTCAAGACAGCAAAAGGGAAGAAACATAATAGAAGAAAATGGACAGGGAAAGAAATCACATTGATATAAAAGGTCCAAAAGATGGAGCTGCTATGGCTTTGTGTGATTGGAATGCGGAGAAAGCAATTCACTTGGTGTGACACTACACTGTGAGATAAGAAAAGCTTAAGACAGACCCAAACAAAGATAACTATCTTAAGCACACCTGTATGCAATGATATCCTATTGATTTCCATGGAGATGGGCTGAATGGTTAGATCTAGCCTAAAAGAATGTTTGGGCACTTTAAAGGCAAATTTGTTATTATAGCATAAACTGTTGTAGGGAACGACCTGTAGTTGTCCTATTGCTTTGATCCAAACTGAAGTGAAGTATTTTGGGATTTTGAAAAAAAGGTTATCATTGAATCCATCTGTTGTTTCTCAAAGGCAATCACAGTTGGATTCATTTATTCATAGATGAATCTGGTTATTTGTATTTTGTTTGGTTTACTTACATTATTTCTCTAAAATGTGAAATAAAGCATATTTTTTAAGAACTCATGCATTTAAGAGAAAAGTGGAGGCACTTCAAAATCTATTCATTCTTGTAAGTTAAGGTCTACACCTTAATGTCTGTATCATATAAACAGCAGGTACCTTTCACAATTTCACATATTGTGTTCATTTACAACTTAGCCCCAGAAAACCCACACTTGCTATTATTGATTTTGCACCACGGCAAATTATTTCCTTATGCCATATTTCATATTTTTAGTATTTTATAACAAACATTTCTAGGCTATAGAAGCAAAACCCTGAAAAATATAGTTGCCTTAACTATATTGCTTCTCTTGAGATATGCAGATATACAATATCGTAGCGTACAGTGTTGTTCCTTTCAAATTATAATTAGAAGTATCTTGCACTTTCACAAATAAGTTTTCTAAAAATACTGCACAAGCAAGATAATCCCATTTATATTGTCCACAATGTCCTGCCTTTCTTTTTTGCCCAGTCATGACTTGGGACTGTACTTTGTGGGCAACATGGAGGCTTCCAGGCTTCCTGCACATTTGTCCAAGAAAAAATGGATCAATAGAGACTTTCAACATGGTGGCTTTATTTCTGGAGTGGGGGTGAGGAGGGAGAGAGCGAGTGAATGCAGTGTTCTCTGAATGCAGATAGTTTGGAAGATGGTACAGTTAAGCCATAAAATAATCAGCATCACCACCATCTCCATGTTATAGCGGTAGGTCTGAACTAAGGGCACATTTGTGTACAGGGATTTGATGTCTTTGAACAATTATTTAAATAAAGAGTTTAGGTTTCTGAGTGCAGCCAGCCATGGGCTGATGCATACACACACACGTGTGTGTGTGTTCATTTTTTCTTGGCTAAACAATGGATAAATACATGCAATCCTATACATATCTATTCATCACTGCATCCCCCGAGATCATGTGACTTACTTCCAAATAAACAGGTCATACCCTAAACGTTCACTTACATATATGAATCTGGCATCACAGATTAAATGCTGTAGACCAGGAATGTTGAGCATCTTTCCACCCAAGAGCTGAATTTAATTTTGGAGATGTTCTTGGGGGACACATGAGTGAAGCTAAATGCAGAACAAGCAGGACAGTATATTTTAGCTTAAAGCTCTTATTGCCAGGCACTAAGTCTTAGGAAAAGCATTTCAGTCTTAAAGCATGGGATAAAACATCCAGGAAACCACCAAACAAACAGTGATTGGGGGAAAGCAGTGGTTGCATAGCAGGTGATCTGGCCAGCTGGGGAGCCCTGGCAGGACAAACTGAGATGCCACGTGGGACAGATTCAGTCCACAGGCATGAATGTCCTTATTTAAATGTATTTCCAGCCTTCAAAATTTAAAACTTTTTCTTGCTGGACTATAAGTCCTTATGGTGGCTTATATTAAAAATATACCAGGGCAACAAACATCACAGTCATCTACAGGTCTCTCTGCATCATGGAACTGGCATTGCAGGAAAAAAAGCATTGTACAAACTGAGGATAAGGTGAAGATGATCGATTACATATCACACACATGCAGAGATTTTGTGTGAGTTCACTTCCCAGCCAGATGCGTGGAACACCTGCACTGCCCCCAAAGCCTTTTCTCTTCACATATTTCCCTAACCACTTCAGACTCAGAATTCAATTCAAAGGCATGCTGCAATGTGCT